CTGGGGAGCACCCCATGCCAGAGCAGGCGAATGCCCAAAGGAAGCTGTGACTCCATGGGAAGCCCATGATGGAGCAGGCTCCTGGCAGGACCTGTGGCCCTGTGGAGAGAGGAGCCCAGGCTGGAAGAGGTTTGCTGGCAGGACTTGTGACCCTGTGGGGGACCCACCTTGGAGAAGGCTGCTCCTGAAGGACTGCACCCCGTGGGAGGGACCACGCTGGAGGGGAGTTAAAGAAGAACTGTAGCCCGTGGGAAGGACTCGTGCTGCAGAGTTTCGTGGAGGACTGCCTCCCGTGGGAGGGACCCCACGCTGGAGCAGGGGCAGAGTGTGAGGAGCCCTCCCCCCTGAAGGGGAAGGGAGCAGCAGAGACAACGTGTGATGAACTGACCACAACCCCTGCCCCCCATTTGTTGTATTTTCTCTCCCCTGCCCAGCTGAGGAGAGCAGTGACAGCAGCTTTGGTGGGCACCTGCCCACCAGCCAGAGTCAGCCCACCGCAAGCTGTAATACAGTCAGAGCTGAAAAGTGAATGATCGCTCAGCAAATGAGATGAGGGAGCTTGTGTAAAATATAAGCTGCCTTGGTGATCAAGATCATTAACCCTCTCTTTAAGGGTTCCCTACGTGAGAACTTCACTAAGGGAGTTATTTTCAAGAGAGCCATCTCCTTTTCCCATTTCTACCTCTTATCTTGTCCCTTCCCTTGAGCTTCTTTTGCATCATCCTTCTGGCATCAGTGCATCATGACTTCGTGCTCAGAGGACACGAGCACGGTGCTGTGCTTGGCAGGCTGCTGCTGGGGAGTTCAAGGGAACTTCTTGTCACACTGACAGCAGCTTCTGGCTTTCTGACAGTAACCTGTCTTTGGAGAAGGGGCTGGCATAACTCAGGGCAGCCCCAGGCATCAGGCCCCTCCCTGGGCATAGGGACAGGTTGGGGTTTGGTCTGGCCTTTGAAGATGGCCCAGGCTGTGTTATGAAGAAGAGACTGTCAGTGAGCTGCACCTTTATTTCTTTAAGGTTGTGTGGAGTGAGCTCTAGTGAAGGAGAGAGAAAGATTTTCTGTAATAGCATGTTACATGTCATCTGCCTCTCAGCCAGGACATTGAGGAGCAGCTGCATATCTTCTTCACTTTCATCTTTTTTGCTTGTGACAATAAGCCAAAACTTATCCTAGTTTGCTCAGAATTACCATAGTTAGCAAGGTCTGGTACCAAAGGCCTGAGATTTCAAAATGTGCCTTAGATTACCCCAACTTGCAAAATCTCTCTTCAAATACGTGGGTCAAAAGCTTGTCTGACTCCAGCACTTGGGTTCAGCTCTTGCATATCTTGATTTTGGGTAGAAGCAGGGGAGGGGGAACAGCTGGGGTGCAAGGACACGAGTTGTCTGAAACTGAACTCAGCTGCCAGTGTGGGATGGGGGAAAAGAGTAGTGTTTATGTTGACTCTTGGTTATTCTCAAGTGTGTTTACAGCTTGCTAGTCTGCTTGCCTCTTAGCTTCATTGGTCCCTTTTGAAGGATGCATTAGAGGACAGCTGTGACAGGGACTGTTAGCTTGAGAGCTTTATCTAAAGATGAGAATACCGATAGGAGGTATTTCTGCACGGCGCTTTTGGCTCTCAACCTTCTGCTTGGTTATCTGCAAGATTGTCCCAAGTTTTCTTTTTTCAAGCTTTGAGAGTATTTTGTGCAACGCAACTTTTCTTTAATACCTTTAAAAGAAGATACGATGGATGTGCCAAAGATAGTGGAGAGTTAATGGTTTCTTGGCTGGATCGACTGTTTGGCTCTGGTGTACTTCAAATAACTTCTGTTGTGATCCAGATAGGTACTTAAATGCACAGCCATATCACAAAAAACGACCATTAGTTAGGTCATTGCATGATATTGGCTTCATATCTTTCAGCCTGCCGTATTTTAACTTCAGGAGAGAAACATTTTCAGTCATTCACAATTAAGAAACAGTGTTTTGAGAACAACACCTTGCAAAAATCCACAGGTGTGTTGCTCTGTAATATTTAAGACTTCTGTGTTTATTTTACATCCACATGAGGAGAGGCACAAGGTGAACTTTCCACTTTTTCAGTTACAGTGTGGTCTGAGGACATGTAATAGTAGATATAATTGGGTCACGTGATCAAGTATTTTTGATTATCATGAGATGATTGAATTTACTGAATTATCTCAACCCACACTGTTCTGATACTATTAATTTGCCTTATATCAGCTGAAGCAATGGAGTGCACAGCACCTTTGGTGTGTAGCATTCTGATCATTACTAGTTCATTATACTTTTTAATAAAGATTGTCATTAGTTACTTTTTGTAAACACAGTCCTAGACTAACAACTCTTAGTCCTCTGTGCTGCTGCTGAACAATCTACTACGGTGATATTCGCAGGTATAAGAACATTGAAATATGATAAAATTAGTTTAAATTAAATCAGAAATGTATGATGTAGTAGGAATTTTATTAAACTTCAAGAAGTTTTAGGCACAGTGAGAGAGTATCCCGTAGGTGAGTTTTGAATCCCCCACAGAAGACATAAGAGTTGATACCATTTTATTTTTTAAAATAGTTTATAGGACAACAGCTGGATTAAAATCCCTTAAGCAGGGCTGAAAGGGAATCTGAGACAGAGTAGCCTAGAAGGATTCTCCATGGACAGTGGCAGTGACATTGCATTGCCGTGTGCCACAACGAAAAGCGTGCTTTTAATACAAATTTCAGCAACTTTATACTTTTCCTACTCAGGAACATTTGCCCAGTGTTTTGGTGTCAGTGATTGCGTGATACAGCTTGTGCCACCTGATGCTATGGTACACAATGGTTAGTATTGCCCTTAAGGACGATGTTAGTATGAAGGTTATTGTGGTGATAATTTACGCCTCTCAAATGCTTGGGGGGCATGTGTGAGTGTTTGTACGTGATGATAAGAAGTTTAATGACAAACTTCTTTTAGCTCTTATTTTTTAAAGCTGGAAGCAATGACAAAGTGTATGACAAACAGAACACAGTGTGTACTTAAATATTCTGCCAGATACTTATTCATTGTGAGAGTTTTGAAAACAAAGCTCCAAAATACTTCTTTAAAAATTCAGAAAAGGAATTGTCAGTACTGAACTCATGAATTAATTATACACTTGTCTGCTTATATTTCCATCAGCATTCTAAAAAATCAAAAAGCTGACAGAAGAAAGATGTTGCTTGAGACGCATGAGCTGTAATAAGCTGTTACAGGACAACAGTAACTGCAGCCTGTAGGAAAGGAAAAATTCATAACATCACCTACAGTCCTATGTGAATGCCAGGTGATTAAATGCAAGGAATGAGTAATAATTCTGTTTATATAATCTTGCATTTAAAAAGATAAACAAACTAAAAATCATTTTCTGTGTAATGTATCAGAACACGAGGGTTGCCATACTCCTAATACTTGTAGATGTTTTCTAAGGGATGGCTTTTACTCAAAAGGAAAATCAGCTTGTTTCTTGGGAAAGAAGGAATAATCTCTGTTATAAATAGTGTTTGCTATGAAGGAAAAAAAAGGTCACCTCCTGATTTATTAAAACCAGAATATACCCATTCTTCTGCTGTCTTTTTAAAAGGTACTGAACCTATTCAGGGGCTGTGACAGGTTGTTGCTGCCAGTGGTGTTATAAAAGTTGCTTACTTGCTCTGGGGTGATGTATCACATTTCTCTGCTTCACTAGAGCTCCTGATACCAATGGGATGCACGTACGTGTTTCTGCAAAATACTGAGAGCTGAAGGCCTTCAGTTTACGTCATCTCTCAGATTATTAGATCTAAATTACACTCTTGTAATATTTTTGGCTTAATAACATCTGTCAGATTTATGCTTGCTTGGAGATTGTTACTCAAATTCTTGATTTAACTTTCCTAATAACAGAGAGGAGAATATACTGTGTTTTATCTATGTGACACAAGGCACAAGTGCTATATATAAGAAATTGGCTCGATGGTTAACATTATGATTAATTGTAGTTTTCAAGAAATAAAAAATGTAAAGAATGCTGTGTTGTTTCTTTTGAAATACTGCTTCCTGATAATGGTAATTCGGAACTCACTGAATGTTATGGAAATCTCCCAAATAGCATGTTTAGAATATTTTAGAGTCTGAATTCAAAAAGAGTGCTTATAAGAAGAATGAAAGGAAATCATGTTTCGGCAGCATTTAACTGCTAAATGTGTCACTATGGGTAAGGATTTCAAGAGGTAGTAATATTTTATTGTGCTGGCTGCAAATGGATAAACTTTCTGGGTGGTAACTAAATAAATATTTAACAGCTTGTCCCTAATATTAATCTAAAATTAATGGTTAGCTAGTAAGACTGTCAAGAAATTTATATAAATGTTCTAAAAATTAAATATTTTGAATTCTGTATATTTTTTTTTTTTAGATATCTACCCCTGTAGATTAAGTGAAAAATTTATGTCATAACACATATGAACTGGACATAATATCTTACATTTATTATACTCCATCTGCAGCGAAGTTGCTTTGAATTTTCCAATTTCTAAAATTTTTACTATATTTATTTATTTTAACCCTAATGATCAAGTAACAGAGTTAGTAAGAAAGGGCGTATTTTATTTTTCTTCACTCAAGCAATGTTACTGCCGTGGGGATGATCTGTAAAACTTTAGGTTTTTGTTTAATTATAGATGGCCATTTTCAAGTGTCACCTGCTCCTTTTTGCATAAAACTGTTAATTCAGAATGAACTAACAGAGAAGGAAATTTTATTAACTCATAATATGAAAATTCCCCGTTGTAAGAAAATTAGTTCATTTTAGAAATTCATCTATTACAATAAAATTGATTCAACTGGTTTATTGGATTTATGAATCCTTTTTCAGTTGTCTTTCAGATTGGAGGAGATGCAACAAGAATCTTCACTGCTTCCCATTGAAGGCTAGCAGAATTTTTTTTTTTTTTGTATCAACTTGTTGAAGTTTGGGTTTTTTTTGGCTTGCAGGTAGTGTTGTATCCAACATCCAATAGCCCAAAGTCACCAGATCTGCATAAAATGATAGTCCCTAAAAACAGCCAGGACAGTGACTTGAAAATCAAACTGGCGGTGAGAATGGATAAACCACCTCATATGAAGCACTGTGGGTAAGTGTCCATTGTCTGACTGTATTTATTATTTTGCCTCACTGTGCCTGTGTTTAACCACATGTTGCTAAATATATAAAGTTTGTAAAACATTATAAATGTTCCCGTAGTATGGCACTGTGTTATATCCTTGTTTAATACATAGGTTTGGAATAGTCAGGAATAACATTCATTTCAGATGTTGAGTGAAGTGTAAAGAGAGATGATGAGCTAACTCTAAAATACAGAACTAAGAGTACAGTGTCATTTAGAAATTGATTTTGAACGTTACATTTTGTAGCACTTTGGAAAAAAAAGAAAGTGGGTATTTTGGAGAAATGTGCTTCTCCATTAAAATAGGATTAATTATATACTTGAATGTGATGGTACTTGCAACACAGTCTCTCCTTTTCTTTGTCTGCTCTATGGTATTTCTCGTGAAAGGAATTTATGTCCAAATACCGGTTTAAGACTGTTTTTCTGTCTAACACTGAAACTATATGGAATAGGTTATTCATAAGGACAGATGGCTCCCCTAGCCAACTGCCACCGCTATTCCTCATCCCAACTGCAAAAACAGGTAGTGTCACCGACAGTAAAGCAAGGCTGGATCTGCCGTTATAAAACAATCACCAGGGCTGTTTTCCATCCTTCTAACTTCCTGTGATTTAAGCAGAAGTACATTTCAAAAAAAGAGAACTATTCAGCATGTTAATGGAGAATTCATGTAGTAGCCATACTATTTAGATTATTTTTTAACCTCCTGTTAATATTCACAACAGATGCTTCTAACTTGCACATGGCCTGGGTTGGTTGCATATTCCACACTACAGCTACATCAGGGATGTTGTGTTCCCATGCACCTATCCCAACAGGTGACTGGGAGAAGTCCCCATTTTTGATCAGGTCACTGTGGGATTATGCTGTCTTCAACCCCAATTAGGGTATAATGTGCAACTTATTTTGAGCTGGGTCCAGAAACAAGGACAAGGCTCCAATGCCTCTTTCCATCATCCTCCTGGGTTTCCCCAGAGGCTTTCTTGGCTGCGAGCTGTTCTTGTGGGATCTTCTTAACGCCACCCCAGTTTGCTTTTCCATACTTGTTTATGTCACTAGGTTTCTTGTCCAAGCATTACATGGATTGCACAAACAAATACTACTTTTGATAATTTAATTCAATCATTATCACAGTAGCGATGAAAATCTGCTGCTGCTGGTAACTTCCTCGCATTGATTTTGAATCCTAATCTCCCGGCACAGTTTTTTTGCTGCTTCATTTTACTTCAGGGTCACTGCTGTCACTATTCTCCAGGCAAATATTGTTATTCTTCCAACCAAAAAATGCTCATCATTTCCCTTTCTTTATAGCCATTAACTCTAATGATTATTACCTACACATTTTTCTAGAAAAGCTAGGGCACTGATGGAAGGCTGTGTGGACTCCTCCACCATAAACATATGTGAAGTGAAAAAAGGGTCAATAATTCCTTCAATAACCGTTGAAAAGGTGGATGAAATACAGTATGATTACACTGGAGTTGCAGTGAGAGGAAGGAAGAGGGTGTTTGTTTGCAGGGAAGTAAACACCTGCTAGAAGGCTATTATTAATGTATACAGTCAGGAACCATTAATGTTATGAAAAGCCATCATCCAGGCACGCTCTGAAGCTTTCTCTTGACTTCCTGGGTGAGTATAAGTATGAAGTGGTCATTTGCTATTTTTTCAAGAGGGATTCCCACCTGCTTCAACACAAAGATTAAAGCTATTCTGATTCAGAACTGGTACTGCATTATCAGAGAAATCCTCATTTGTGAAGAGGCTGAAAACACGCAGTGTTACAGGAAGGCGAAGGAGTATTTTGCAGTTAAGATAATTGAGGGATACTGGCTTTTATTCCTCCTTGTGCTGCCCAGAAGGACCTGTCTATAAGAGCCGGAAAACAAGCCTCTCCACCTGTAGTAACTGGTAGTATTGTTATTTGTTTCCTAGTATTGTTGTTTCCAGTGCCCATTTTGATAAACTGGGGTCTGATTTCATAGAGGTGCCCAACACTCACAACTACTAGCTGAAATCAGTAGAAACTGGGCTGAAAATATAAATTGTGCTCTTAGAGCAAATATCCTAAAAACTAGATCTTCAACTTAATATCTGAATTCTAAAATTTTTAGTACTTCAGTGCTCGCATTTTGAAGTGAGAATAAAAGCACCTCCTGGTGTTGCAGACATTTCAGGGTAAATCTTGGGAAGCAACTGATAGAAAAGGTTCCTGGGGCATGGTCACTTCTCTAACATATGGCCAAAGGCTTATGCTCTGCCAGGCAGTGTTATTCCTGGTGAACCTGCAGGAAACCTTTTTGCAAAAAAAGCAAATAACTCAATCCTCTTTATAAATCAGGGTTTTTGTTAACGTGCAATGAAACAGGCCATAAGAGAAAATAAATTGATAAGAGCTGGAAGGCAGCTGCTGCTATCCTGAATAATAAAAAGGACTGGGAACTTTTTGTTTGTTTATTTTATTTTCCTGTATTGTATTTTTAGTATGTAGTCAGGCATTTAACCACAGCGTCACAGAGTACACAAAAGGGGGAAATAAAGGGTGAGATTATCCTTACTGCTGGAATTTTGTCATGTTAGCAAATTGGATTTCACAACCTTAACAGCAAACTTTTAATATAGTGTGATTATCCCAGTTCTAATTCTTTTTTTTTTTATTTATTTTTTGAGAAGCCTCTCATGCTTTATCTTTGCCCAGTCTTTGAACTAGACAACTTACGGTTTGTGTGTCGGTCTGAGTTAACAAGCTGACATACCAGATTCGTATCTGCCTCATAGGAAGAAAAGGCAGTCTGTTGGCATTAGATAATGACTTTCAGCAGAGAATCCCAAAATTTATTCAAAATTGAATTAAAATTTTACCCCTCAGCTAATTGTGGAAAGAAGGGTATTATTCGATTAATACGTTATAAAAATTTAAAAAAAGGTACTAAAAAAACATTCTTTCAGATATGGGAGCTCCACTCAAATATTTCAGATTCTGCAGGGTCAGCAAAAATCACAGACCCAAGCTCATTGTGAGTTTTCAGTTTTACTACTTCAGAAAAGTTTCTCCTATTTGACTTTCAGCATATCCCCTGGGTCAATAAGTAAAGACTTCAAAACCTGTCTTCTCATTTATACGTCAAGAATATTCAGTTTCACAAATTATATTGTCTTGTACTTAAACTGAGAATTTATTATTTATTTTAGATTTTTTTTTTTATTATTATTGCATGAAAAGCTCGTAAAGTATGAAACAACCCCAAGAATATATAAACATCCTTTTCTATTTAAACCCTGTCAGTAGGTAACAAGGGGAAGCATGCACAGCTAGGAGTTCGGAGTAATGACAAAGTAAATGTCACTCATTAATGAGGCCTTGGAGAAGAGTTCTGAGTATTGGCAATTCATGATGCTTCAGATTCCTTTCTCGTACTTTGTAATGTATGTGCTGCCTTCTCACAGAATGTGGTAACCTTTTCCTAGTCCAAAATGCAGAGCACATACAAGTTGGGGGTTTTTTAATCTTCTTTATTAAGGTAGTAAAGCACACATCCGTACAAAAGGAGGTTTGGTAACATTTCTGTTAATTTCTTCTCTCACAATGTTGAACATAAATCAAATTATCAGAGGAAATAAGCAAAATTTGGCCTAAAAACTTCCTATAAAAATGCTAAAAGCCTGTTTATTTCTATCAAGTTAGAATAGCAGTGTTAGGGAAGTACTGTTTGCTTCAGGAAGGCTCACCTGCCTCTCTTTAACTCCTAATTAAATTAGGGTTGAAAACTCAGGGAGGACAGGATAATCCACTCAAGATGTGTGGTACCTTTTCTAATGAGTTTTTTTGTAACGTATCTTTGCATATCCGTGTGCATTTAAAGCATTCATTATTTTAGAATTAGATTTTGTGTCAGTTGAGCTGTCTGTTAGCATAACCTAGTGGTTACTAAAGGGTATCATTCTGTTGATTCCAAGCTAGACATAAAAAAGGAATACTGGGATTTTTTCTAATAGCTTGTTTTAAAAGGATTAGTAACGCTAAAAAAAAGGAAAATAAATAAGAATGTGAAATGAATGACATTTAATAATGCAAAATTGAACAGCCTGAACAGGAAAATATTACAAAGTAGTATTGCTTGGCTTCGGCTTCCAAAGTAAAATATTTCATCAGAGCTCCTGTCCAGAAATTTTTCCAGGATTTGAAAGGCAAAATTCATTCTTGTAAGTTCTGTTCTGCTTTCTGCTGTGACATGTTACATATAAAAATGTTATACCTTTAACTTCTTAACCTTTTGTGTTTGGAATATACAGTCCACAAGCACTTTAGTAGGTACATGCCCAGATTTTGTCCCTGTCTCTCAGCTGTAAAGCAACTATTTTGGTGACTTTTTCAAACCTGTACTTTCCAAAGGAATCTGTGACATCTTTTTCCTCTCACAACTTCTTTTTTATTATTGATATTGGTCTGCAAGTGTATTTTAAGAATGTAAAGATCACCATGTATTTGCTAACCTTTTAAATTTTTTTCACTTGTGCATTTGGGATTGACTGAAATGTTTTTAGGACAGGATTTGTAAACAGGAACTATAGCTGCTGGTTCCTGTATGTGACTGATCTGTTCCCAGTATGGTTATTTCAGAGAAATGTACAAGGTGACCACTCTGAAATTACTCTATTTCAGTTCTGGGTTACTTTTGTAGATAAAGATGTCAGGAGTACAATCACACTTCTCTTAGCAAGTGCTGTGTGTTCTCTGTTACAGACAGGCTTTTGTGTTGAATTAGAAACTGGTTTCACACCTTTCTCTGAACCAAAACACATAGATATGTTAGAATAATTCTAAACAATGCTAAAAAAAAAAAATAGAAAGCAGATTTCTCTAAGCTAAAATGTCAAGTATAGTTTCTCTTAGAAACAGTAGGTATACAATTGCTTGTGAAGAAAAGTGTTGGAAAGCTGTATCCTTATTAATACTTTTTATTATA